TTTATGAATTTTAAATGGATGTCCACTTAATACTAGTCTTTTTAATATAATACGATCATGATTAACTGAAAGAAGAGAATCAGTTACTACTAATTCTTGACGACCTTTATTTAACAAAAAGCAAAATTAAGTTTTTTTTTTAATTTAAAAGATCGAATAAAATACCACCAGGAAATTGTTTAAATGCCAAAACCGATGCAGGTCGATATGTTATTGGATCAAAACATGTTGCCACAAGAGTTTGTCGTGACCGAAAAAATCTTTCAAACTAATTTAAAATATTCTTATCTATATTAATTATTATAATAATCAATTAGTAACAAACTTTATGTTTATCTCAATTTGAATGTTGAGAATAAATCGGTGAAGTCGAAAAATGACGAAAACCAACATGAAATATAAGACGTTCTTTTGATTTAACAATTATTTCACTATCATTTGTACGATTTAAGACAATATTTAATACTGATAAACACTGTTCATTTGGTAAAAGACCCGTTACAAATAATAGATGAGCACATTCTTTAAAAAAAAACCAATAACAACAAGTTTTTATTCTTGAATATTTATTTTTTTTATAAAAATTTTTTTCTTACAAAATCTACTTATGGGCATATCTTTTACATAAAGAGTTACATAACTATGCACCTGTGACAAATATACAAATTAAAATAAGTATTTCATCAAATAAAATCTTTGGAAAAAAATCTTCAGTAAATATAATTATTAAAAAGTTAATTACATTTACAGAGAACACAAAACTTTTCTTCATTCTTAAATATATGAAACATTGAAAATCTACCTGTACGAAATCATAGATTTCAACATCTATCGATTATAATCAGATTATCACTCTCTAATCTTTCTTTTTTTACTGTCACGCTCAATCAAAAACTAATCTTTTACTTCGAATTTGAATAAAAATATTTATTTGAAAAAGAACTGAAAAAAAATCGTATAAGATGCTCAGATTTTGATTTAAATAAATTGTGAATTATCGATTTGATCAATCATAAAATTTGTTCTTTGATCAGAAACGAACTTATTTAGAAAAAAGCAATTTATTATTTGTTGACGAATGATGATAGGTCACTATCAAAAACACTTTTTTTTTCTTTTCAATTCTGATCAACAATATTATTCAACATATTTGCATTTAAGAATAAAATCGATTTTTTTTAGAAATCTACAATTATCTATTTATCGTAGAATATTTAGATTTTAGTCATTTAATTCGACATATATTATCAATCTGCTAAACTTATTCGAAATTTAGTTGGAGAAGACGATCGCAACTACTTTCAACAAATCTTATTGAAAATAATCGGATAGATTATCTTTTACGAGTATTCGCACTTAATTAGAGATAAACAATGTTAGATTTTAGATTTTGGTAAATAGAGACGATCGTAGTTCTGCTGAGAAAAATCGATAAAGAATTGTCAAGCAAAGAACAATCACGCCGTATTTCTTCTCTCTTTATCTGACACTCAGATAAAACTTCGATGATTAATAAATGTCAATGATGACAAAACAAATTCATTGTCAACATTATTAAATAGTTGTTTCTTTTTTATGAAAATCTATTCAAAATAAATTTAAACATAAAAACCAACTCTAGAAGAATAGGAAAAAGCACAAAATAATATTTCTATATGATATGCACATAATCATTTTTTAAGGATAATTTTTAAAAAATTCTTCAATAAAATCTCTTGATGAATTAATTGATTGATAAAACTAGATATATACATATATTTAAAAAGAAAAAGTTTAACCAGAGCACGATTCTTGTTTATATTGATTATATTCTTGTTCACTTTCAATTTGTTTAGTCATAGTACGAAAATTAGGAAATTGATAAATTCTTCCATAATCATATTGGTAAATTTTCTTTTGGATTGTTTGAAAACTTTTTAAACCTCAATATCTTTATCAGAACAATAAAATATAATTAGATAAATATAAAAAAATATAAAAACATGAAATACTTTTGAAATCTAACACAAGCCAGAACATCCATTGGTGTATCAAATTCATCAGGAAATTATTCATCTAATTTAGTTTCTTTCAATTTTTTTAAACTAAATTAAATATATGAATTAAAATAAATATAATCAGATATATAAAATAAACGTTTGTTTATCTACTTCTAAATCTGTTTTTTCATCATAATTATTTCGATTGATAAAAAGTTCATTGATTTCTTCTTCATGTTCTTGTTGATCAACTTTAATTGATTGTAGATCATCAGCATAATCAGTCATCATTTCTTGATGATCTTCATCAAAATTCTAATATATTGAAAAAGATTTAATATTAAAAAAAAAATTAAACATTTTGTTGCTTGAGAGACTGATTATCTTCATCATCAGAAATAATCCATGCAGTTTGATATTGAGAAGGGTGTGGGTGTGGGTGTGGGTATGAATGAAGGAAAGATTAACATCCACACCCACATCCCATCCACACCCACACCCCACCCAACATCCACCCACACCCTATTTGCTCGGTATTGTTCATTTACGTATTCTGTTCGTCTTAATCTAACAGTATTATTATTCTAAACATATTGATCTAATTGGCAACCCAAGCAGACACGATTTTTCAACGTGAGTTATGTACTTTCTGAAACTTTCAGTTCAATCCGATATTTTTGTGAGAAGAAATTCTCAAAATATGGATGATTTCCTATGATAATCAGCTACCACTCCCGAACCCGAAAAAGGGCTTCTAATGATTAACTCTCTTATTTAGATATCGAAACTAACGAGTGATGCTAAAGTTCTACATTAGTTTTTTTTTGATACAGCAGTGTAATAGAATATTGTAGAGATCTCTTCTTCTTTTTTGTTAGAAAGAGCAAAGTGTCTAGTATAAAAATGTACAAAGAAATTTGATTTAAAATGTTTGTTACAAGCGACAAAACGTACCGAAAAACGATTCCGCAACTTTTTTCGAACTTGTAAAATATTATGACAATCATATTTTTACTTGTCTAATCTGAGTTTTACAATATACGGATAGTGAAGTCTTGTAGCACGAAAAAAGAAAATCTCTGCACCTTTTATAATGATTATAATAATCGCTTTAGTGATATTGTCTGGTAACTGATCACATTCGAAAAAATTAGCTATACCTTCTATATGAAAAGTATAGCTCAATGAGTCCTGTATTGCATGATAATTTTTGAAATAGGACACTGATTTTCTGTAAAACATTCAGTCAACTTCGTAGAATTGATTTTTTATGCGGTGCGAAGTACAACATTTATGTAATCATGCACGCACGCATTCGATCTCCATACTTTGCCTATTTTTTTTGCGGTAATAAAATCTGTACCCTGTGTCGCGATGTTCTAGAGAAAGGTAAGTTGATAGAAATTCGTTCGAACTATGTCAGAGAGATAGATGTCTTGAGATGATCCAAACAATTTTGAATCTTCAATAGGAGTTTTCCTTTTTCTTCAGTAAGTTCGACAAAACACTGAGTTTGACGATTTGACCTTCAACTTTTACCCGAGATAATTAAAATTGGTGAAATAATATCCAATCAGTTGTTGTTAGTAGAAGAAATAATGAAAACCTTCGACAGGAAAGAATCGACTCTTGGTGAAATTGTTGATCATTATTTTATGGTAATTGAAGTTCTATTGCCAAAAATGAAGATCGCTTCATATCGCTTTTATGCAGTCTTTTGCGAGATTTCTTGGTGTTTTTTACCTACTAGACGTCAGCATTGAACGTTATCATTTTCTATTACGATGATCCCGAGAACGAAGAGTCCGAAGATACGTGGATAGATGTGCTTGTACTGTTCACATGACACATCGAAGAAAGTAATCGATTTGTAAGGAATCTTTTTCTGCACGAAATTTTTATAACTATTTGAAATCAAAATCATGTATATCTCTTCAGCTCTACACCTTTGCTACGCTATCAATAGTAAAATACAAAAATTATATGATTTTAATTATCATCATGACACTCAATCAAAATTGATTTCATCCACATCCATTCATTATTTATTTATATCTGAAAAATAAAGAGTATCAATACCATATTGTTCTCGTCAACTAACAACTAGTGAATCTTCTTTATCTGAACTACATATGTCCAACACTAACAAGTTTTAACTCATCATTATCTACTAATCGACAACAACATTGACTTGAAGAATCGACTCAACACCTATGAAAAAAAAACGTCTTTTTTTTTCTCAATTATTTATTCCTTCTCATTATTATGACATATGCCGAAAATATAGTTTGACTGTAAGTTATAAATATTAATTTGATTGATTAGTCGTTTGTTTTATTCTCTACAGAGAAAGTTTTGTGTGCAAATTTAATTAATTATGGAAGCTCAATGAAAAAGAAAAACCAAATAATTCATAAAGTTGTTTTTAATTTAAACTATATTTTATTGATAAATTTCATTATTGAAAAGGCTAAAAGAAAACAAAGATGATTATTAGATATGTTGTATTCTTCAAATGCAGTTTTACTATTATTATATCACTGTTTGTCAAAAGAATTCGGTTTCTTCTTACCAGACGTGCAGGATCTGCCGCTAAAATGACAAACCTCGCTCAGTAGAAAATTCAATTCAAGATTCTTTTGGAAAATTATAAAATTTTTCTCTGAAAATGGAAGATAACAGATACTGCATTAGAAATAACTCATTTTTATTTCCTATCTTTGAAGCATTTAACAATTTATTTTAA